CCCGGAGACGTAGAGAGCCTCTCGGAAGGCGCGAGGGCGTCCGAGAAGCCCCGCCGCCTTCGAGAAGGCCTTTTCCTTCTCACTTCCCCCCGCCGGGCGTGCCGCCAAATTTGGTTTTGGGTCAAAACTCGGGTCTCTGGCCGCCGTTCGGGACGATCCGGGCACCCCCAGAACGCCCTCGGCGAGGCGCAGCTGCTGGCAAGCATCCCAGGGCTTAAAATTCGCAGACGAAAACGCAAGAAAAAACCCTAACCTCGAACCGCCGACCAGAGGCCGACCACGAAGGAGGACACGCCGGGGCTGCAAAAGCATCGGGGCGTCGGAGATGTGGGCCCCCCTCCGACGTCGCAGAGCACAGCACGGGACGGGCCCGGGCACCAGGGGGCACACCGCCGCGCAGCCGCGGCCTGCGCCGGGCCTCTGGCGGCGCAGAGGGCGCGCCGCCGCGCGGGGGGCGCAACGGCGCGCTCGTGGGCGCGGGCTGCGCACGGCGGCGCGGGCAGCCAGGCGCTTTCGCACAGGGCAGCGGCACCTCGCCCACCTGTCGGCGGTTCAGAGGTGGAGTCCTGAGGGATGGGGTCCTGAGGACGAGGTGCCTCGCACAGTGCAGATCCACCCCTGGAGAGAGGTTGAAGCATTCGATGACAAAGTTCAATGGGTGTTGGTATGAAGTCGCGAATGGTGGAGGACATATGGTGTACCTCCAATTGGTGGCGGCAGGCATATGGTGCCCACCATGTCCCGTCCACAGGGACATATGGTGTACCTGTCCCGGGGAAGCGTGAGACTCGAGCAAGCCGGAACTCGGTTGTGCCGACGTTTTTTGATGAGCGCGTCTTGGAGTTTGGCGGTCCGGTGTCCGTGGAATGTGTGCAGCGGGAGCGCGCGTCAAGTTTCAGATTGGGTCTCGCCATTTTCGTTGATGGCCCCGTCGGGCCCGAGCCCTAGTCTTACGTCTCCCCGATCGATTGTCGGCGGTTCAGAGGTGGGGTCCTGAGGGATGGGGTCCTAAAGGACGAGGTGCCTCGCACAGTGCAGATCCACCCCTGGACCTCGGCCTGTCCTCGGGACCCCATCCCTCAGGCCATCATCTCTGAACCACCGGCACAAGTGGGCGACGCAAGAAAGCGGGGTCGTCTGCGCCGACATTGGCGCGCAAACTGCCCGCGGAAGGCCGCGCGACGGCGCCCTCGTCTCCACTGCAGCGCGCCGCGCGGGCGGCCCGCGTGAGCCGCCGCGTGAGGTCGCTGTGCCACCTCGCGCAAGGCCCGTGCCTTGATCGTCGCTCCAGTGGGCGAGGGAGGGGCCCGCTCCGGCGGCAGAGCTCGGCCGAGCTCGGGCACGAGCCAGGTCCCACTCGGCCCCTGGCCACGGCCAGGAGCACCAGGGCCTCGGACCGGGACCACAAACTCTTGCGCGCAGCCGGCCCCGGGGGCAGCCCCTCCAGGGGAACCGCGCGGCGCGCCGCCGAACCGACGTCTGCGCGATCGAAGATTTGCAACATCATGCCCCCCGCGCACCCTCCGCGGAGGGGCGCCACGCCGTCGCGCGAGCTCGCGCGGCCCGGCTCATCGGATGCCGGACTCTGTCGGTCGCGATCGGCAGCGACCGATCGGCATTCCAAATCGGTCGCGGCCGATCGCACGCGACCTGTCGAACGCAACCGAGTTTGAAGCACATCGGTCGCGACTGGTACCAGAATCTAGTGGCCTTCGTCCTATCCCGAGACCCTGCCCTGGGTCGTGGCCAGAGGTCTCCTGGAGTCTCGTTGAGGCCTCCTAGTGGCCTCTCGGGGAGCCTCTTGGGAGGCTCCTGGGGGCGTATTTGGGAGCATCTGGGGGTACCTTGGGCGCCTCTTCGCGACCTACACCTCGAGAACAGATTGCTGGTCACGACGGCGAGGGTCAAGTGTGTGCTTGCGCAAGGTATAGCTTGTCAGGCAGCGGCCCTGGGCCGGCCCGGCCTTCCCAGGCCACATTCTCAAACACCGGCCGGGGAGGGTGGTGAGGAATAGGCGGTCACTACTGTCTGCCCTGCCACGCGCCGCCGTTCTGCGTTCATCTACACAGACGGCCCCGTATGGCATCGCCTGGTTTTGAGGCTCCCGCGTTCTCGTCACAACACCGCACAGCTGTTGCACGTCTAGTGATTGCCACTGCGTACCCTTTGGGCTCAAGCTGGCATGGCCTAAGCCACCTTGGGCCGAAGAGCTTGCTGAAGTGCTACGAATTGCTTCCATGATCTCCGAATCAATTGGGGCCGGGGCTGCGCTGTATGCGCCTGCCCTGTGTGAGAGCACGCCCTGGTTCTGGTCTTGCCTGCTCGAGTGCCTGCTCATTTTACCCCCGGCGTTTCTCTATACCGTCGACGGGGGCGGCTGCCGTCAGTTCCCACGGTCGCATTCGAAGCAAGAATGGAATCATCACTTGGGGTTGTTTGACCGATGCAGGATACTACGTTACCCGGGTTGGTGGAAGCCCTAATCTTGTGCATCGATTGGTGGCCCATGCTTTCTTGGGGCCACCGCCTTCGACGCAGCATTGCGATGTGAATCACAAGGACCGTGATCGTGGCAACAACCATGTTGATAATTTGGAGTTCGTCACACGTTCCGAGAACATCTTCCATTCATATGCAGCGAACCGCACTCGCAGAACTTCCGGAGATGCACTCTCCAAACCGGTCCTTAGCAGATGGGGTGGACAAGGTCGCTGGATCGATCACTCCTCTGGGCGCCTAGCGTCCCTCGAAACGGGCGTTGATCCTAGACAAATCCACAGCTGTTGCAAGGGCAGGATCATGTCAGCAAAGGGGTATGAGTTCAAATATGGAGCACCCATCGTTCCGCCATGTTTGCCAGGCGAGGAGTGGCGTCCTGCCTTACACCCATGCACAGGCTCAGAGCTTTCGACCTGGGAGGTCAGCTCCCATGGACGAGTGAAAACTGCTCGCGGATTGGTTTCCTACGGCTCGCAGAATTTAGCCGGCTATCGTCTTACAGGAATTTCAATCGACGGTCAGCAAACAAATCATCTCGTGCATCGACTCGTCGCCCGAGCTTTTTTATGGCAACCATTTTACTCAGAAGATCTCGTGGTCAATCACATCGACGGCAATAGAGGAAATAATGTCAAAAGTAATTTAGAATATGTGACTCGGTCGCAGAACTCGCTCCTTTCAAAGAAATGGTGGCTTGGACGCTCAAGTTCCGGAGTAGTAAGGTCGAAACCTATATGGGGACGGATAGTTGGATCGGAGTCATGGAAGTGGTACGCATCGATGACCGAAGCCGCGCGCCTTTTGGGCCTGACGGTTGGCAGTATATCGCGTTGCTGCAATGGGATCACGCGACGCGACGGTAGTTACGAGTTCAAGTTTGCAGATTCGGCAGTCCCCAGTGTGTTGCCAGGAGAGGTGTGGCGCGAGATGCCGCAGTGCTTGTTAACGGAAAAGCCCCGCGTACCCTTCGCCACTCGCTGCTTCACACGCGCAGATGGTGCCACAGTGCTCTGCTTCCAGACCTCCCAGGAGCTGCCTCCTGATATGTTTTGCAGCTCTCCTCGCCGCCGCCGCCCCCTCCCCCGCCCGGGCCCATCCGCTCGCCAGCCCTGCGCTTCAGTCCGTCGGCACGTGTCGCCTCGCGCGCTCCGGTGTGGGCGCCGCCCCAACGGGGGGCCTCCCAAAGGGGGGGGGGCGGCCTGCGCGGGGGGGGCGGAGGCCACAGCGGAGCGGTGCCAAAGCTCGGAGCCCCGAGCCATCGGGGCTGGGCCCCGACCCCCGCGGGTCATGACAGAATCAGGCCGGGCCGTGTTGCGCTGTTTTCGGCCGCTGGAGGCCTTCACCAGGCCTCGGGACCGTCAGGAAACGACTCGGGGCGAACAACCGGTCCAGGGGAAGGGGTCCAGGCCTCTGAGGGCGCACGTCATGAGTAATGTATGACGTCTGGGGTCTGGCGGGGTGGTGAGGGGCAGCTCCTGGTTCGTGCCTCGGGGGCCCAAAGCAGAGTTACCTCGGGCCAGGGCTATTCCGAAGAAATCGGGCATCCAACCATTCCCGGGTCATGGGAGTTGGGGATGCGGTCAAGGGGTAATTCTTGGCTCGTGCGCGGGGGGCCCGAATTGGAGTTATCCCGGGCCAGAGTCATCCTGGATATCTCGAGCGTCTAAGAATCTCGAAGACATGAATCATTGAATTTCAAGGACGACAAAAATTGCATGCAGGTCGTATTTGTGGGCACCGCGCGGATTTCTTGGCTCTCGAAAAGCGGAGCCGTGAATGGGGAGGGCCACGAAACGAAAGAGTACTCAAGCTGTGACCGCGCGCTCCTTTCTGCCTGGCCTCCGCCCGCGCCACAAAGACCTGTAGTCAGATCCGAGCCTCGACAACTTCGGAGCGCGCGTGCTTGCACATGCACGCGCAATGGCCTGCGGCAGGCCGTGCGGTAGTTACCCTTCTCTTTCCCCCCCACATATCCAACTTCTTCCGATGCGCAGCCCCGGAGGTGTCGACCCCTTCCCTGCGGGTAATCTTTCGCCCTGGATCCATCTCCGATGGTCCCGGGGGGCCCGTTTCACGAGCCTCTCCGAGGGCTCGGAAGTCCCTTGGCCTTCGGAGAAGCTTCCTGAGCCTTTTCCGAAGACAGAAACCTCTCAGAAGGTGCGAGGGCTTCTGAGAAGCCCCGCCGCCTTCTGAGAAGGCCTTCTAGTTCTCACTTCCCCCCCGGGCGCACCGCCGGGCCGTTCTAGACGATCTGGGCACCCTGGGACCGCCATCGGCGAGGCGCAGCTGCTGGCAAGCATCCCGGGGCTGGGAAACCACCGAGAGCCGACGAAAACGCTTGAGAACACCTCGAGCCTCGAACCGCCGGCCAGAGGCCGAACACGAAGGGAGACACGCCGGGCCTGAAAAAATATCGGGCCGTCGGAGATCTGGGCCCGTGGTCGGTTTTTTATTCGTTGTTTAGCCGATCGGCGCGGGCCCTCGCACCCTCCTCTCCCCACCCTCCCCTGGCTGGAGTAGATCTTGGCTGTTTTTGGCGCCTGCTTCGAGCAGGTAAAGCCTCCCCCATAATGGACGCACTGCTGCCTGTAGCCATTTTGGCTCAAGGCCCAATAATTTAGATTCACAATCGAGATCATATGCTTGCGTCTTCCATGGTCTGCACGACGATGATTCGCGTGGGATGTTTGGTGGTCTGTGCCGCTGTGGCGAGCGGGCTCCATGCCGACACGGGCGCCCTGACCCAGCTCCGGGGTTCCAATCATTCGGTCCTCATCCTGGGATGCTCTGTAGACAGGAACGCCGTGGAGAGGTTCTGCGGCAAGGTCGACAGGTTTTACCGCGTGGGGTGCTACGACGAGGAGCGCCAGCTCAACATCGGCTTCGTCTTCCACCCCGGGGTGGGCATCAACGGTGACCTGCAGCCGCCCTTTTACAACCGCACCCAGTGGGGCTCCAACATAGGGCAGCCTATATCCGACGACAAGGTCCTGCGCAAGTGGTCCTCGAGCATGGTGGGAGAGCTGTTCCCCGACATGGTCGTGGTGGACAGCTCCCTGTGGGACCTGTCGACCTGGGCCTCGTGGGGCATGAGAAACGTGACGGCAGACCGGCTGCGCCAGTGGGGCATGCGTGATCTGAGGAATGAATTGGCCCGCGTGTCCGAGGCATACAACAAGAGCCGCATCGTCTTCAGGACTGCGCCCGCAGTGTACAAGACAAAGTGGGTCGTTGGTGACGCAGGACAAGTGTACAAGGATGTGGCGGCAATCTCGAATGATGGAATCCGCATGATGCAGAGGGAGCTGAGGAAGCACATCAAGGGTGGCAAGCTGTACGGCAAGTACGAGGTGATCGACTACAGCCAGATCATGGACGATCTTATCCAGGAGCGCGGGGCCGACGATCCGTCCCTGTGGCTGAAGGACGGGTACCATCCCAGTGCGGAGCCCTCCCGACGCTACCTCAACGAGATCTTCCGCCTCATGGACCTGGCGACGGTGGAGAAGAAGGTGGAGGTGGACGGCTTCCGGCGGCGGTGGGCGGCGGCCGCTGGCGACAGGGACGAGGCGGGCGATCTGCCGTGAGCGCTGCGGCAATTCCCTCGCCAGCCCGATTGCCCGAATTGTGAAGATGGGCCCGGTGGTTCTCACTTCACTGGAAATAAACAGCTTCTCGGATCGGCGCCGAGCTCCCTTCCCCGGAGGCGCGCCCCCGCGCCAGGGGCGGCGCTGAGGGTGCATAAACCTACACTGTTTCATGTTGTCCCAGCTTGTTAGTGCATGCAGCGGTTCACCTATTCCAGGTTGGCTATAGTAGGCTCTTGGGTTTGGATGTGTGTCTCCCGCCTCCTCGGCCTCCTCCTTCGTCGTCGTCGTCGTCCTCCTCCTCCTCCTCCGGCGGATGTGGAAGCAATCTGTTTTAGCAGTTTGAACGCCAGTTTGGGCGCACACTGCTTTATTAACAGTTTTAACGCCGGCTGCGCGGCAACTGCTGGCCAGGTGTTGGTTCCGTGAAAAAAATAATGGACGCACTGCTGCAAACAGTCGCACTAAGCAGAGGTCCGGAGCTAGACCCCCCCCCCTCCCCCCCAGTCCTCCCAATGTCGAAACGCCGAATAGTAAAACGTCGCAGGGCAGCACGGGACGGGCCCGGTCACCAGAGGGCACACTGCCGCGCAGCCGCGGCCTACGCCGGGCCTCTGGCGGCGCAGGGGGCGCGCCGCCGCGCGGGGGGCGCACGGGGCGCTCGTGGGCGCGGGCTGCGCACGAGGGCGCGCGCAGCCAGACGCTTCGCACGGGAAGCGACACCTCGCCCAGCTGTCGGCGGTTCAGAGGTGGGGTCCTAAGGGATGGGGTCCTAAAGGACGAGGTGCCTCGCACAGTGCAGATCCACCCCTGGACCTCGGCCTGTCCTCGGGACCCCATCCCTCAGGCCATCATCTCTGAACCACCGGCACAAGTGGGCGACGCAAGAAGACGGGGTCGTCTGCGCCGACGTTGGCGCGTAAACTGCCCGCGGAAGGCCGCGCGACGGCGCCCTCGTCTCCACTGCAGCGCGCCGCGCGGGCGGCCCGCGTGAGCCGCCGCGTGAGGTCGCTGTGCCACCTTTCGCAAGACCCGTGTGTTGACCGTCGGGCGAGGGGGGGGCCCGCCGGCGGCAGAGCTCGGCCGAGCTCAGGCGCGAGCCAGTTCCCAGGGGCCACGGTCACGAGCACCAGGTCCTCGGACCGGGACCGCAAACTCTTGCGCGCAACCGGCCCCGGGGGCAGCCCCCCCAGGGGGACCGCGCGGCGCGCCGCCGAACAGACGTCTGCACGATCGAGGATCTCAGAGCGGAAAAAACAAAATTGACCCCCAAACGGAGAGCAAAACGTCGATGTCGAATATGTATAACAATGTCCCCCCGCATTTGCAACATCATGCCCCCCGCGCACCCGCCGCGGAGGGGCGCCACGCCGTCGCGCGAACTCGCGCGGCCCGGATCATCAGATTCTGGACTCTTTCGGTCGCGATCGGCAGCGACCGATCGGCATTCCAAATCGGTCGCGGCCGATCGCACGCGACCTGTCGAACGCAACCGAGTTTGAAGCACATCGGTCGCGACTGGTACCAGAATCTAGTGGCCTTCGTCCTATCCCGAGACCCTGCCCTGGGTCGTGGCCAGAGGTCTCCTGGAGTCTCGTTGAGGCCTCCTAGTGGCCTCTCGGGGGGCCTCTTGGGAGGCTCCTGGGAGCTTATTGGGAGCATCTGGGGGTATCTTGGGCGCCTCTTCGTGACTTAATGACACCTGGAGAACATGTTGTTGGTCACAACGGCGATGGTTAAGTGAGTAATTGCGCAAGGTATACCTTGTCAGGCAGCGGCTTTGGGCCGACCGGATCTTCCCAGGCCACTCTCTTAAACATTTGTCGGGGAGGGTGGTAAAGGACTAGGCGGTCACTGCATGCCCTGCCACGCGCCTCTGCTCAGCGCTCATATGAGCATGAGGCCCCGTATGGCACCGCCTGGTGTTAAGGCTTCCGCGTTCTCTCCACAACAAACCCCACAGTTGTTGCACATCTAATGACTGCCACTGCGTAATCTTTCGGTTCAAGCCAGATTGGCCTAAGCCACCTTGGGCCGAGGAGCTTGCTGAAGTGCTACGCGTTGCTGCCATGATCTCCGATTCATTTGGGGCCGGGGCTGCGCTGTATGCGCCTGCCCTGTGTGAGAGCGCGCCTTGGTTATGGTCTTGCCTGCTCGAGCGCCTGCTCATTTTACCCCCGGCGTTTCTCTACATCGTCGACGGGGGCAGCTGCGGTTAGTTGCCACGGTCGCATTCGAAGCAAGAATGGAATCATCACTTGGGGCAGTTTGAACGATGCAGGATACTACACTACCCGGATTGGTGGAAGCCCTAATCTTGTGCATCGATTGGTTGCCCATGCTTTCTTGGGGCCACCGCCTTCGACGCAGCATTGCGATGTAAATCACAAGGACCGTGATCGTGGCAACAATCATGTCGATAATTTGGAGTTCGTCACACGTTCCGAGAACATCTTCCATTCATACGAACAGCACTCGCAGAACCTGCGGAGATGCACTCTCCAAACCAGTCCTCAGCAGATGGGCTGCGCAAGGTGGTCGCTGGACCAATCACTCCTCTGGGCGCCTAGCGTCCCTCGAAACTGGTGTTGACCTGGGTACCATATGTAAGTGTTGCAAGGGCAAGATGATTTCAGCAAAAGGGTATGAGTTCAAATATGGAGCACCCATCGTTTCGCCATGTTTGCCAGGCGAGGAGTGGCGTCCTGCCTTACACCCATGCACAGGCACAGAGCTATCGACCTGGGAGGTCAGCTCCCACGGACGAATGAAATCCTCTCGCGGATTAGTCTCTTACGGCTCGCAGACTTTAGCTGGCTATCGTCTTACAGGAATTCGAACCCACGGTCGGCTAACAAATCATCTCGTACATCGACTCGTGGCCCGGGCTTTTTTTATGGCAACCATCTTATTCAGAAGATCTCGTGGTCAATCACATCGACGGCAATAGAGGAAATAATTCCACCAGTAATTTAGAATATGTGACTCGTTCGCAGAACTCGCTCGTTTCAAAGAAATGGTGGCTTGGACGCGCAAGTTCCGGAGTAGTAAGGTCGAAACCTGTGTGGGGACGGATAGTTGCATCGGAGTCATGGGAGTGGTACGCATCGATGACCGAAGCCGCGCGCCTTTTGGACTTAAAGCGTGGCAGCATATCGTATTGCTGCCGTGGGATCACACGACGCGCAGGCAGTTACGAGTTCAAGTTTGCAGATTCGACCGTCCCCAGCGTGTTGCCAGGCGAGGTGTGGCGCGAGATCCCGCAGTGCTTGTTAAAGAAAAAGCCGCGAGTACCCTTCGCCACTCGCTGCTTCACATACTCAGATAGTGCTACAGTACGCTTCTTCCAGACCTCCTGGGAGCTGCCTCCGGATATTTGTTGCAGCTCTCCTCGCCGCCGCCGCCGTCCCCTCCCCCGCCTGGGCCCATCCGCTCGCCAGCCGTGCGCTGTAAGTCCGTCGGCGCGTGCTGCTTCGCGCTCTCCGGTGTGGGCGCCGCCCCAAAGGGGGGCCTCCCAAAGGGGGGGGCGGTCTGCGCAGGGGGGAGCGGTGGCCACAGCGGAGCGATGCCGAAGCTCAGGGCCCCGAGCCATCGGGGCTGGGCCCAGACCCCCGCTTTTCGCTGTTTTCGTCCGCTGGAGGCCCTCACTGGGCCTCGGGGCCGTCAAAAAACGACTCGGGGCGAAAAAACAGTCCAGGGGAAGGGGTCCAGACCTCTGAGGGCTCACGTCTTAAAAAGTTCATGACGTCGGGGGTCTCGGGGGTGAGGGGCAGCTCCTGGTTCGTACCTCGGGGGCCCAAAGCGGAGTTGCCCCAGACCAGAGTGATCCCGGATCACTCGGGCATCTACTTGTTTCCGAAACATGGGGGTTGGGGATGCGGTCAGGGGGTAACTCTTGGTTCGTGCGTCGGGGGCCCGAACCAGAGCTACCCCGGGCCAGAGTAATCCTAGATTTTTCGAGCGTCCAGGAATCTCGAAGACAACAAAATAGCAGCTCGAAGACAACACAACTTGCATGCAGGTCGTATCTCGGGGCTCCGCGCGGATTGCTTGGATCTCTAAAATCAGAGCCGTGAAGGGGGAGGGCCACGAAACGAAAGAGTTGTCAAGCTGTGACACCGCGCACGTCTCTCTGCCTGGCCTCCGCCCGCGCCACGAAGACCTGCAGTCGGATCCGAGCCTCGACAACCACGGAAAGGCGCGTGCTTGCACGCGCGCGCAATTGCCTGCGGCACGCCGTTCGGTAACTAATTGCACTGCAGTCCCTCTACAGGAGGAATATTCAAAAATATTCAAAAAAACATGGAGGCGATTTTCTATGTTTTTTGACTATGTTCGAATGCTTGTTTATTATTTTCTTCTTCGTTCAAAATCCGCCTGTAGGAGGACATGCCCCGCCTAAACATACCCTCCTCCTTCCCCCACACGCATCAGACTTTTTCCTGTGCGCAGCCCACATGCGGGCAATGTTTCTCGCCCTGGTGGATCCAGCTCCGATGGTCCCAGGGGGAGTGAAGGGGGGAGGGGGGGGGGGCGATTCACGAGAGCCCCCGATCGGCGGCGATCCCCGGGGGGGGGGGAAGTGAGAAGGAGCAGGCCTCCTCAGAAGGCTCGGAGGTCCCCTGGCCTCTTGAGAAGTTTCTCCTGAGCCATGCCCCGGAGACGCAGAGAACCTTTTGGAAGGCGCGAGGGCATCCGAGAAGCCCGCCGCCTTCTGAGAAGGCCTTCTCCTTCTCACTTCCCCCCGCCGCCCGCGCCGCCGAATTCGGTTTTGGGGTCACAACTCCAATCTCTCTGGCGGCCGTTCGAGACGATCCGGGCACACCCGGAACGCCCTCGGCGAGGCGCAGCTGCTGAGCTGGCAAGCATCCTGGGGCTGGAAAACCGCCCAGAACTGACGAAAGCGCCCGCAAAACCTCGAACCTCGAACCGCCGACCAGAGGCCGAAACGAAGGAGGACACGCAGGGGTTCAAAGCATCTGCCCCCCCTCCGACGTCGCAGAACTTCACGGGACGGGCCCGGTCACCAGAGGGCACACCGCCGCGCAGCCGTGGCCTGCGTTGGCTTCTGGCGGCAGAGGGGGCGCGCCGCCGCGCGGGGGGCGCACGGCGCGCTCGTGGGCGCGGGCTGCGCACAGCGGCGCGGGCAGCCAGGCGCTTCGCACTGGAAGCGGCACCTCGCCCACTTGTCGGCGGTTCAGAGGTGGGGTCTTGCGGGATGGGGTCCTCAAGGACGAGGTGCCTCGCACAGTGCAGATCCACCCCTGGACCTCGGCCTGTCCTTGGGGCCCCATCCCTCAGGCCCCCCCTCTCTGAACCACCGGCACAAGTGGGCGACGCAAGAAAGCCGGGGCGTCTGCGCCGACGTTGGCGCGCAAGCGTCCCGCGTAAGGCCGCGCGCAAGCGCCCTCGTCTCCACTGTGGCGTGCCGCGCG